ATAAAGGAACCTTCATGCACTTTAATTATATTAAAATCCACAATGCATTCTTAATGTTCATGTAAACATGTTTTTCTATTATATTTTTTAAATATATACTCCATCTGCTTAAAAATATAAGGTATTTTTTGAGAAGTTGTATGTTTAAAAATGTAAAAATATTTTTAATATTTTGAAATATAATTATTATCTTTTTTTTAAAGCGTTTATTTAATAATGACTTTATATTTATTATAGAGTATTTAATAAGAATAAATATAAAAAATAAAATTAATTAAAAAATAAATAATTATTTTATTAAAAGATAATATTTAATTAAAAATATTTTATATTTTTAAATGGAGGAAGAAACTTATTCTTTATATTTTGATCACCACTAGTCTGCTACATGGGAGCACTTATCTTAGAAATGCAGGCGAATCACGTCTCAACACATGTACACTTCGCGGGATTTGGGAACGGTGATATGTAGCGGAGTCGAGGACGATTTTCTGGGTGACAAAAAATGATAAAGCCACGAGTTCCCCATCTCATGGGGTGTGCGTGTGGGGCATGTCCATGCGTGTCTCCCGATGTTACCGCCCACGTGCGCTGCCCACCCACGCCCAGCCCTCCAGCTCCTCCCGACATCCTTAATTTTCGTGAAATTAAACATATTAATTCCTGCAACACGCATAGATCAATGTAACTAAAGCACTCAAATCATCATGCCCCTATTCAACTTCCTAATCATGCCTGTTTCTACCAACCTCTTCCCACTGCTCCTGCAACTAATCTCGTGGATTCTACATACACATGCATACTCTAATTTCTAACTTGGTCGATTTCTTCACGTTTCATCATGAGTATCGTGATCAAACACTGATAGCTTTGTTTGCCTGGTTTATCGATCACTGTTCATCATTTCCCCCTCTTTCGTTGCAACCAAATTTCAGCTCTGCACACTCACATGCAGCCCCTTTCTTTTTCTTTCTCCTTTTTCCCCTCTCGCGCTGCAACAACTATACATTAATTCTTTATTTGGAACCCCGTCGAGACTTCTGTAAATTATCGTCGGGGGAAAAACATTTGCATTGTGAACACCCTTCGCTCCCTCTATTCTCCTATCCTTTTGCATTTATATGCAGTTAAAGTAGTCCTTTCAATTATAACAGACCAGAGACCGGGGGGAAGACAGAAAATTTTAATTTTAATTTTAATTATTCAAATACCACAAAAATCAAATGAATCGTGATAGGACTATACTTTGCCATCCCATGTGGGAAAGACAGCGGATTCCTTAAAGTTGCATCATCACTTCGATTGCCTCCATGATTAAAGTCTGACTTGAGACATACTCTGCCCCCCAACGCCCCCGCTCCAATAAGAATTAATCATCTGCTGACGGGACAACTTTAAACTAACCGATCGAGAAAACAGTAATAAAAAAGGGCACTGCGATATGAATCTCGTTTCAAGAAGTGAGCATACACAGGACAATTATACTTTAACAGGAAAATGACAACGGTCACGGCTGGATATTATTGATGAAAGCGCATGCAGTAAAATATATGCTCAGCTAGTCAGCTGCACGTTCGTTCATATAATTATTATCTTTACTGTAGGAAAGAGCGGTCGCCGAGAGGTCTTCTGAACGCAGTAAAACTACAGATCAAGGATGAAATCGCGTAAATCTATGTTGGATCAAGTGCCTACTTCATGTATATGCATACGCTTATTCGTCTTGTTTTTTTCCGGCTTCATATATATATATATATATATACGGTGACAAATTTATCACCCCCATAACATTCTCCTTCCTTAAAAATATTTAAAGGCATGCCTGAAAAAAAATCGCTTTGCTAAATCTTGCACCTTCAAAGGTAGAAGCAGAAGAACAGTCCCCCCCCTCCCGGCGGAACAAAAAGAAATAATCATAGATCCGTCAATGTATATGTATTATGTATAGTCAGACGGAAGGAATTCAATTAAAATACAGATTTCAGTATGCCGCCGGATATGATAAAATAGTAGAAATAACATGTAAATAAAACGTTGGCAAAAGAAATGTAAATAAAGCAAACGTAGTGTACCGAATTAAGAGGGGGGGGGGAGGAAACAGGGTGATGTTGCTGTGATTGATTCATATTATTACGAAGTGCATGAAAGAAAACATAAAGGAAAAGATTGAAATTTGAGGGGAATATAAGGAAAGCCGCATGAGTTATAACACGGAGAGACGGTGCGGCGATAATGAAATTTATATTGTACATATTGAGGTTTTATTTTAATACCAAGTAGTAGAATAGAGGGGAGGGGTTTTGGAGAGGTAGCAGGTGACAACTGACAAGAGCACAATGATGGTGGGGCCGGCCCGGAAGTGAATTAACCCCCCCCCCCCCCCGCCTCTTAAGGACAAAAAAGAAAGAAAGCCCTCTTATGATGCAAACTGAACTAACTTTGATGTCCTGACAGATGAAATTGGGATGGCTTTTGGAAGAGGAGGGCAGGAGAGGCAGAACATGTAATGTAAGTGACGTCCATGTCAACTTGTCTATTATCCATTTGTGGACATCTCTCTCTCTGTTGTGCGAGTGTTGTTGGGGGCCCGGGGGGGGGTGTTGGTGACATGAAATAGGAGCAACGGGAGAGGGATAGAAAGGGTAAATAGGAGGGAAGAGGAGGGGCAAAAGAGTGAGGATCAGGGATGCAGCACCAACGACGCAGGCCTCTCCTTCATTCCATCACTTCCTCTGCTCCCACTGCCTCCCTACACTGTTCCCATCCTCCCGCCCTTCATCTGGTATTCATGGGAGCACATGATGAGCACCATAATCTGGTTCGGATTTCAGTATTTTTTTAAATAAAAAATTTATAAAATTTTGAATAAATCTATCAATTATTAACATATATAATTCATATTTAATTAGATCAATTCAAATTTAATATGTGTTTGATTTTTCGTTGGTTAAAAATAAATTTGTCAAATATCCATTTAGTAGGTCAACTTAATAAAATTTATATTAAAATATTTTTTTAAAAAAAATCAGTTTAATAAATTAAAAGTTATTTGAATTATATATAAAAAGTGTATTTAAATATACAATTATAAAAATGAACATTGATTTTTATGATTTATAATTTTTTCTTATACAAATGCTTCATGTTAGAAATGTTTGAAAAATATGTGTAATAAAAATGTTAAATAACATAAAATTTAATATGTTCAAAAATAAGAATACAAAATTTGATATATTGGTCAAAAATTATATAAATAGTCAATATACATTAACATTAAAATTAATTGCAAAAGAATTAGAGGTAGCATGATATAATATCCAAAATAGTTACATATTCTAACTCCCTCAACAATAGCCCAACCTCAAATGCACATTTTAAAAAGCTTTCTCAAATTACATTGATCAAATCCACTTTCACCTACTTAGAGTACTTTTAAAATGTGTTTTCATCAAAATAAATTTAAGGCAAATAACTTTTGGCTTTTAAATTTCCTATGCAGATTTACCCTATGCTGTTCAAATTCAAAACTTTAAACTTATTATACTGTCAAGTTTAAAATAATCTAGAATACTTTCAATATCAAATAAGGAAAAATATCATTCAAGAATCATTGACTCAATTTAATGTCAAATAGATAGTAAAATTTTGAAATATCATTGCAGGATTAGAGGATTGACTTGAAAATAATTCTAAATGTAAAAATACTATAATACTCCCACTTTTCTTTTACCTTTTTAAACTTCCCAATTAGCAATCATTTTCTCATTAAATATACATGATTATTTGTTAATTAATAAATAACTACTTAGAAAAATATGATTTACACTTGTCTCTTCTTGCAACTAAGCTTTTGTCATTTTTTTGAACTAATCAATTAGCAAATAATTTATTGTTAATGCAAATTGATACTTGTTAAAATATGATATACACTTGTCATTTCTCACAGTAAAGCTTCTTTAGATTTTTAAACTTATCTATTAGCGAATAATTTTTTTTTCAGGTTAAATGTGAATGTATACTTTTTAATTAATAAATGATTATTTGTTAAATAAAAAAAAGTAAGGATATTAGTCTTTTTATTATATAAAATTATTTTTAAATTAGGCCTCCAATCTTGTAGTGATATTTTGAGTTTTTTTAATCTTTATTTAATATTAAATACTTTAAGGGTGTGTTTCATTAGGCTATGTTTCTTAATGATATTTTTTTTGGTTTAAGAAAAAGGAGACAGAAGGTGAGAACTAATTTACTATTATATTCATAAATACTAAATTTTACTATTTTGTTTACTTCCTTCTTAATATCTTATGTAAATTAATTTATACTGTTTTTTAATGATGGACAATCATTTAATTACATATGCAATTACAATGAACAGTGATGATTTCTTATTTATATCCAGAATAGTGGTGGCTTTTCTTATTAATTATGTTTGATTTTCTAGTTTGTATGGACTGTAAATTAAATTGAAACGAAATAGTTGGCCCTCCAGCTTCTATATCGTAAATTCCTAAAATCAGAATTGCGAACACTGATTGATTGGCTTTTTCTTATTTAAATTGAATTATAATAAGCAGATCCATAAAACTCATGGTGGACATTGTTTCGGTTGCTCCTTGGGTTCCTAAAGATAACCAACGCTTGGAGAACGTAGCAACACTGTCAGAAGTAGCAAACCATGATAGCGAGCAAGAAAAGGAGTTTATTTTACAGATGGCATTCATGAAATATGAGCAAATAAATGAAAAGCAAATTAATCCAGATATTTGGCTCTCCTTTAAAAATTTCAATTTAGATGGGCTGAAAGGAGGGGATTGGAGATTTTGCCTTTCTTTCTTTTAAAATTTTTTTAATCAAATAAAACCTCCACTCCAAAAAACCCCCCGTTTCAATAATCTTTGAATGGTGTTTCCTTCTCCAGGAGAGGAAAGCAGGGTGGATGCGGGCGCGTAGGCTATGATGTAGTATGGTCGAAACATGATGGGCAGAAAAAATTAAAGAGGACAAGGTAACGGGACGTGAGATATGTAAAAAGAAGACGGTGCGTGGACTCCTGAAAGCTTCCTGACTCACTGAGTCCTAACAACTAACAACGCGCCTACCATTGTTGCTCCATCCTTTTCATCCGATTTCAATCCCGCTCCCACGTATCTAGATTCTAGACCCCCTTTCAATTTATCACCTCCCTCCCCGACCTCTGTTAATCTCCCTGCTACCACAATTACCAACCTCATCGGCTTCACTGAGTTGTCAGATTTTTGTTTACAAACCCCCCGTGTTTGATTGTCCATGCATGGTATGAAATGCGGATTCACCATAAAAAAGGGCCCCTTCTTCAATCTTTACTATTCGTTTCTGAACGGGGAAAAATGGTATTCGGTGTTTCTGAGCTGAATGAAAACCCCCTTTTGTCTTGGTGGAGGGCCTCCCCCCCGCAGTGAAGGGAATTATTAGCAGAGAAAAGATAAAGGCGAGGCATAGCAAAGGAGACGGGGGTGGGGTGTGTGTGGGTTCTGTACTGTCAAAGCCTGTCCCCCCCACCCTACACAGTCACCCCCCCTTCCTCTCGAACAGTCGAAGTCGGTAAGTCCAAAAGCCACTACCGCATTGGCTTTTCTCGCCTTTTGTTTCTGTGCTTCCTGTGCATTTGTCCATGTCTGTTGCTCCTGCTCCCTCTACTCAGTACCTGCAAATGGGCGAGGAATCATACTTTGAATTTCTTGTTCTTATTTGACGCTGTTTTCCACCCCCCCCCCGGAGGGGGGGTTTTATAACTTTGTGGTGCCCTCCATATATGAATTCCTTTATGTGATTTGACCCTCCTTTCCATTTTATATAGTTTTCACTTTCCGGATGTTCTTTTTAATCACCCTCGCTCGCTTTCCTTCCTTCCCTCCTTGCAACTTTTAATATTCTGTTACTTGTTCTGCTTCCGTTGTGTCTCGCCAGAGCTGCGCTGGGTGTTCATGGAAATTGATCTGAACCATGCAGTGACTGAGGTCGAGAAGAATGCCTTCTGCGATGGGCGCTGTGAGCAAGGCACTTGTGCTTCGTGTTTCTCTTCTTCCACTTCTTCCTCTCCCAACTCGCCTTCACCTCGCGTCTCTTCTTCTTATCTCGAACTCTGGCATGCTTGTGCCGGCCCCCTCACCTCCCTCCTAAAGAAAGGAAATGTAGTGGTCTACTTTCCCCAGGGTCATCTTGAACAGCTTGCCTCTTTCTCTCCTTTCTCGCCCGGTGACATGCCCACCTGTGACCTTCAACCGCAAATCTTCTGCAGCGTCGTCAACGTCCAGCTTCTTGTGAGTGCCAAATTATCTTCACACACTGAATTGTACCTGCTTCCCTCATTTAATTCGATTATTTCTAGTTGGTTTTCAATTTTTGTAATCGTTAGCATATTTGTTATTTCCCTGAACAGGCCAACAAGGAGAATGATGAGGTTTATACACAGGTTACTTTGCTTCCCCAGACAGAGGTTGGTCCTTCTTTTCCCTTCTCTTCTCTCTGTGTGTGTGTCAGATATATATATATATATATATATATTTTTGGCACAAGGCTGAGGTTGGCCTTTAACTCAACTTATTTCTGCTCTGATGCATCTCAAGTATGTTTGAGGAAAATCGTGTCTTCTTTGTGGGTATAGGAAGCTGCCATATTCTACGTAAATCATTAAATTCTGATTGCTGCGGACTTCATTCTCTGTTGGAATATTCGTTTATACATAGGAATTTGCTTGAATTAATGACTTCGATTACACACAGAGACTAAACACTAAAGTCTTGAGCTGCCTTCAGTTAGCAGGAATGCACTTGGAGGGCCAAGAACTTGAGAAATTGGGAGCATATGAGGAGGGAAATGGAGGATTACCCGCAAAATCAACCCCTCACATGTTCTGCAAAACGCTTACTGCTTCTGATACTAGCACTCACGGGGGGTTCTCCGTTCCTCGCAGGGCTGCTGAAGACTGTTTTCCTCCTTTGGTTCAATTTCTAGTTCTCTTTTTCACTGATGCTTGATGAACTTAAAAATTATTTATTGTATAGTCTCCTTTGAGGTGATAATTCTTTTTATGCAGGATTATAAGCAGCAAAGACCCTCCCAAGAGCTTGTTGCAAAAGACCTTCACGGAGTAGAGTGGAAATTTCGCCATATTTACAGAGGTAGATTGCAAAGAATAACGTAGCATGACTTCAACAATGTATTGTTGGGTTAAAAATTGAAGCTGCAATTTTTCAGGTCAGCCAAGGCGGCACTTGCTCACAACTGGCTGGAGTATTTTTGTCAGCCAAAAGAATCTTGTATCTGGCGATGCAGTACTTTTTCTGAGGTACATATATGTTGAGTTGAGATGTTTTAGTGGCATTAATTCCTAGACGGAAGATTTTTCATCATGTGTCGCATGGACATAATTTAGCAGATGCATAATTTGAAAGAAAGTGAAGCTTGTATGACTTGATATATTAAATCATCTTCCATCAATTAAGGGGCATTCCCCTTGTATAACCCAAAATATTAAATCACAAACTGATAACTTTCATGTTCCTATTCCTATTCCTATCAATCAGTCAGCTGGCATGCATTTATCTTTAAATATAGCTAGTTTTTTTCTTGTCATAGTAGTGCTCAAGTACCAATCTAGCGAAAGGGTTCAAAAGATAAAGTCTAATTTAATATGGGCATATATCTAAAATGCTGTGTTTTCTTTTATATGAGAATCTAGAATTTTCGTGCCGCTAAAGCATGAAAAAATGTTCTAATAATATCTGAACTTAAAAATGAAATTTACTACTCATATTATCCAGTCTCTATAGAGGACGAGTTTATCATTCTAGCAGCTACAGATCCCTTACTGCTTAAAAATGCATTGTAGAGGTGAAAGTGGAGAACTGAGATTGGGAATCAGGAGATCTGTTCGACCTAGAAATGGTCTTCCAGAGTCAATTATTGGTGATCAGAATTGCTATCCTAATTTCCTGTCTGCAGTGGCTAATGCCGTATCCACCAAAAGCGTGTTTCATGTTTTCTACAGCCCAAGGTACACGTTTAGCCAACTAATATTTTAAATGCAAATGAGATGAAAACTGCTTGGCCATTATGCTTATCTATAACAATTTGTTTAAGATTGTAATGGAATTCCTTCTTTGGCTTTCTGCTGATAATTTAAGCTTATGAGATTGTCAGGTTCTTGACATAATATCTAAGCTGACATGATAAGCGATGTAGAACTGAGAGAAGTATTTATTGTTATTATATAATTTAAGTTTACCAAGGAAATTTTGTTGTCATTAAGAAATCATAGATGTGAAAAAGGAATCTTTTTAGCCTTCATATTTATATAGTGTTTTCCAGTAATCTATTGAGCTTCCAATCTGGTGCAGCAGTCATGACTGATAAGTTACCTTTTAAGCTTTGTTTTCTCGATTAAAGCTTTGTTTTCTCAAGCGAGAGGCTAATGACCAGATGTAAAGTGGCCTGGTTCTACCCATATAATTCAGCTGAATAGAATGTCCAAAATAGAAAATATTGCCATCACGCTACATGGGGTGGCTCAATAGCATTGGATAAAACCGGGCCACTTTACATCTGGCCATTAGCCTCTCACTTGAGAAAACAAAGCTTAAAAGGTAACTTATCAGTCATGGCTGCTACACCAGATTGGAAGCTCAACAGATTATTGGAAAACAGCATATAAATATGGAGGCTAAAAGGATTCCTGGAAACATAAGGAAGTACGAGATAAATGAAAATGAAGCGGAATATTCAAACCCTAATTTCATTAAAACAGTCATGTTTGTATTTCTTCAAATATTTTTTTAAAAAACCAAGGACTTTGATTTGAATTTTGAACAGAACAGGCTTACAGCTTTTCTGCAAATTCAGATGATAAGATCTTTAGGAGGATGATGCCTGCTGCTTTCTTCTCTCCTATCTTAATTGATTCTTCTTTTGCCAATAACTTTTCATTAATAAATGGAAACTCTTTTACTTTCCATCGATAGAAATATTTAATATGATTAGCATATGATTCAAGCAAAATATTCCGTTTTCTTTTTTGTGCATAGTGTCACAAAAGTTTGAACCAAAGACTTCTTGCATGCTACTTGAACCTTTCGTGACTGGACCATACTTTCTGGCTCATTATGTTTGGATTTCTTTATCATGCAGGGCAAGTCATGCAGATTTTGTTGTCCCTTACCAGAAATATGTCAAAAGCATCAAGAATCCAATGACCATTGGGACAACATTCAAGATGAAATTTGAAATGGATGAATCTTCTGAAAGAAGGTAAACAACTTTATGCTTGTAAATATTTTACAAATGTCTTACTTTACAAACAATTCCTTGTGATGAATATAACAGTATATTCCTATCTTGCAGGTGCAATGGTGGTATAGTGACTGGAATGCGTGATTTGGATCCCTACAGATGGCCTAAATCAAAATGGAGGTGCTTGATGGTATATTTGCAATTTTTTGTTATTCATGCGCAATACATTTTGACAGAAATTGAACAATTTTATGCTTCGCTCCCATCAAATCATTTTCTACGCAAATCCAGTAGCCATTCAATCCCATATGACTGGGAGCTGTCAGAGACATTAAAGTCAGCACACCCCAAAAAAAAAAAATTGCGTAAGGGGAGAAAGACATTGAAGTCGGATTTACAAACAAGTAGCATCAAGCTGAATTTTTTTAAAGCCACTTTGAGGAAGTCACCTGGAAATTTGATCTCACTGGACTTTCTTTTCTACGTATATCTTCTTGCAGTCTATTATTTTTTTTCATGCTTGATTTAGTCGCCTCTCTAGCTGGACTTGACTCAAATATCTTGCAGTTAAGCCGCAGTAGTTCCATACAATGCCCAATGTATTTAAACTGGGTAATGAGCATGTGTTGATGGCAGCTTTATAATGAAAGCTTACTATTACATCCACAGGTAAGATGGGATGACGAAATTGCTACTAATCATCAAGATCGAATTTCTCCATGGGAGATTGAACCTTCTGTTTCTCTCCCGCCCTTTAGCATCCAGTCATCCCCAAGACTAAAGAAATTGCGGACAGGTCTGCAAACTGCCACTTCAAGTCACCTCATGACCGGTATGAGCCCTAATGTTGAGTGCGTGTAAATAGCATAAATCCTTGCAGCTCATTTTTGTGCATTCTAATCCTGTTCATTTTTGGCTTCTGGTTGGGGCAGGAGGTGGCAGTGCATTTATGGACTTTGAGGAGTCCGTAATATCACCCAAGGTCTTGCAAGGTCAAGAAAATACAGGTTTTGCATCATACTATTTTGGGCGTGATGCATTGAAGAACCAGCCAGATTTTGAGATGAGTCCTCCCAGTCATCCAAATCTTGCATCCACTGGATTAAGAAAGGCTGCTGCTGCTGAGCTTATGAGGGTTCACCCTTCTAGTTATGCAGGCTTCGCTGAGACTAACAAGTTTCTAAGGGTCTTGCAAGGTCAAGAAATATGTCCACTGCAATCTCTGAAAGGAAAGGCTGATTTTAACCTTGGGGTTTGGAGTAAACCCAATGCCAGTTGCACAACTTTGAACCAACGACAGGCATCCAAAACCAACTTTGACACTTTAGGATCAGAAGACCTTCAAACTGCTTATTTTCCTTTCGGTGACATTCACAGAGCTGGTCAAAGCAGCCTGTTTTGCTCTAAATCTGCAAATTTCCTGAGAGAGGATGTCCACGCTCCTTCCACTCAGGCAGAGCTCACATTAAAGGAAGTTGGACGGTCAGAACTCTCAAACAAGGACAAACTGCAGGGCAGTTTTTCTGCTGCTGCTTCTTTAGAAGCAAGTCTAAGGATTTCAAATGACGATAATTATGAGGGGAAGGTAACTGCCTGTAAACTATTTGGGTTTCCCTTTTAGGGAAGGCAACTCTCTGAACTTGCAGGGCTCTGCTAAAAGGAGTTGCACAAAGGTGAGCGATGATAGCAACAGCGTTATATTGTGATATGCCTTTTCTTCTTCCTTTGATGTTTGTCCACCTATATAACATCCACTGAATGAAGGTTCACAAGCAAGGTAGCTTAGTTGGAAGAGCCATTGACCTCTCAAGACTGAGCAGCTACAGTGACCTGTTGAGTGAACTAGAGCGACTGTTTGGCATGGAAGGCCTTATAAAGGATCCTGATAAAGGATGGAGGGTCTGTACACCGATAGTGAAGATGACATTATGGTTGTAGGGGATGACCCGTGGCAGTAAGTATTCATCATCCTGGACACAACATTGTTAAATTGCTTTGCCACCTTTCCGTCATTTATTAATAGCCACCACATACTTCCACTATATTTACCCTGACAAAACTGAGAAAAAGCTTGATTCCTTTTTTGTGCAGTGAGTTCTGCAGTGTAGTGTCTAAGATCCATATATATACCCAAGTAGAAGTCGAGAAGATGACAATTGGGATGATTACTGATGATACTCACAGCTGTTTGGAACAGGCACCAGGGGTAATGGAGGCTTCCAAGTCCTCATCTGTGGGCCAGCCAGATTCTTCTCCTACAGAAGTTAGAGTCTGAGGCTCAGGGTTGTCTTGGATCCTAAGTATATGTTGGAATCGTTCCATGTAATTTAATCATTCCCGCATATGATCGTGATTTGATTATCTTCTTTTGAGCTCTTAAGCCCTAACCAAGCAGACCAAAGTTCCTGAATAAGGGCAGATTGTGTGAGCACTATGTATTGGCAAACCATTACTGCCTAAGTCTTATTTTGCATGCTGTGTGGTATAACGTTGAAGTCTCCCCATTTCTTGCCATCAGTGGTATATTGTAAGCACACACAAACAGTTCAGGAGCTGACTCTCTGCAAGTCGCTGGACGTTTGACGATGCATGAACAAGTCACATTTGATTCTGGGGAAATGACGCCTAGTAATTTTCTACGCTTTATGCCAAAATTTTAAGAGTTAGAATGATTTGCGAATAATCAAAAAACAATAGTACGCTTGATTTGTAAATAAATTGAAGGGCCACCAATAAATGATTCAAGATAATGATTCTAATTCATTTACAAATGAAATCGATGGTTAAAATTTGCAATGTTTAGAAGACAAAGTATACCTACAGTGTGGCGCAGGGTTGACTGAGTCCGTTCTCATGTAATTATAGCGTTTGGCCGTCTAATTTATGAGGCCAACTACTAAGCGGGTCAAGGGTAAAAAGGAATAATATTAAGGATAGCCAATAGTAAAACTGCCATGAATTTTGAGTAAACATGCCAGTATGTCTAAATACATGGACTACTGGTATCACCATCAGTGACAGAGGAGGACTAGGGGAGCCTTGGCCCCTAATTTTTTAATTTTCCCTTTGTAAAATAAGAGTTATATAATAATGGAAGGAAAAATAATATATATATATATATATATATACACAAGTTGAAACCACATCATGTTTCCAATCAACCTCGAATTTTACGGTTGAAAAGGCCAAATAACTACATCGAAAAATATCGAAGAACAGGTATTCTGGAGCATGTAAGTTGCCTATCATTTGGCTCACTCATTGCCAACTGCATCGTGTTCAACCTTTCAAAAACCTTAAAGAAAGCCATCTGAGGTTAATTTTGATGATAGGAATGGGTGAAATATGAGTGACCATCTAAAAGATTCAGATGCTTGCCAAAGTATTCAGTAGCTGCAGGCAGGCTGGCTCAGACATTGCGTTTTAATCAGAATATTTGGTTGTTAGAAAATGCGTCGGGAGGCGTTCTCTCTCTTAGTCTATACCCTTGTCCTCGTGAATTTTTGAAGGATTTGCTACTGCAAGGTGCTATTGATTATTGAAGGGTTTGTTTTTTTTTAACCAACTTGTTGAAGTTTGTTTGCCTAGCCTGCTTTCCACGATGTTGTCAAATGTAACCAGAAGAAAGGACAACTAATAGACTGTCTGTTATCACAGTTAGAAACCATTTTAAAGAAAATCTGAAAAAAAAAAAGAGATTCATTTATCATTATTAAAACAACTTGATCACAAATATTATACCTAAGCTATTTCCTTTTTTTTTTTTTTTGAAAGGCAATTTTTTAAATATGACTAGTGCTAGACAGCACCACAAGCAAAAGGGGAAGAGAGTGTCTCCACTTCCCTTCCCTCCATTTCCCTCTTATTATTGTCAGATTAAAATTTCAACAGTCATATTTAATTTTTGATGAAATTACTATTTTAACTTTTTACAAAGATATATAAATAATTATAAATTATAATATTTTATTATTTATCTATATAATTTTAAAATAATAATTTTATCAAAAATTAAATGCAAACTGTTGAAAAGTTTTGATCCAAAAGTAATGAGAGGGAAATTGAGGAAAAATAAGTGGAGACACCCTCTCCTAGGGGTGTTCATAGGTTCGGTTCAGTTTGGTTTTGGGCAAAAAAACTAAACCGAACCGAACCATTCGATTTATTGATAATTGAGACCTGATCGGTTTTTATGCAGTTCGGTTTGGTTCGGTTTTATTTTTTTGGTTCGGTTTGGTTAAGGTCTTGATCAAGTTTTAATGCACTTGTTTAATTTTTTTCCTTTTCTCCATTTTCATAATGGTGCTATGTACTAAAATTAAATTTAATTCTTTTTGACTCCTTTTTTTCATAAATAGAGGTATAAAAATATAATAAAATTTCAATGTGATAACAATAATTAATCATAAAAATTGATATAAGTTTTTAAGATTAAAATTATTTAATATTATGTATTTTCATTAAAATCCTTTGAAAATGTTTATCTATGTATCTATATTTAATAAATAATAAAAAACTTATTATACAAAATTCAAAACAAAATGTTTCTTGTAGATAAATTGAATGCTGAGGCTTTAGGTTGTAAATAATTAAATGATGATCATAGCATGATTATTATAATTACTTAATATTTGCATTTCATTCAAGCATTTTAAAAATATTATTTATTACTATAAAAATTCAAAACAAAACTGCTTCTTGTAGATAAATGGTATATATTTTACAAATAAATAAATAAAAATTTTTAATCAGGTTTGGTTTGGTTTTCTAGTATTTTAAAACCGAACTTGAACCGAATCAATCGGTTTTATATTGTAAAAACCGAAGCAGACCTAATTATTGTTTCGGTTTTGATCGGTTTTTGTCGGTTTGGATCGTCTTTTCGGTTTTGGATCGATTTTGAACACCTTACCCTCTCCCCAAGCTAAAGAGGGTTTGGTTTTCTCTGCTCAGCAATGTAGCAAGCACCTGGTCTGTTGGCTACATAGGCGGCAAACATGGACAGCGACACTTGATTGGTTGCTTGAGTCGTGCCCGGAAGGATTACTGTCCTTAAGAACTATTCCGGCACA